TTGAATCTGAAAACTGAGCTCTCGGTGCTTAAGTCGATCTTCATTCCGATGTTCACCTACGGTTTTGAGTTTTGTGCAATGACTGAAAAGCTTCGATCGTGGGTACAAGTGACTGAAATGGGCATTTTGAGGCGAATTGCTGGATTTATGCGTCTCGACATGGTGTTGAGTTCATATATCTTGGTGTATAAGACAGCCATTATTTGCCAAACCGACCGAATGAAGAAGCCTGGGACGACCAAGAACAACCTGGATCAAGTGTATAGAAGGACTCAAACATAGTCTGGCTCTGACCCAGACTTGGGTTATCTTCTGCAGAGCTCAAACGCTGGCACAGAATCGGGAATGTTAGAGGGACTGTGTGGCGTGCTTGACTTCGTGACCCGAATGGATAAGCTGTCATGGAAACTGACTGACTGGCTGAGATAACTGCGGAATCATGAGGACACTAAAAGAAAAAATGAGGAAGAGATGCCTGTAGGACACTGTAGTATAAAAATGTAAACATTTTTTATGAAACCAGAAATATTTGAAATATTTCAACAAGTGGTGGCAAAAATTAAGAACCCACAAGGTCTCATTATGATAACAAGATACTGGCACATGGCACTGGTTTCGTACAGAATACACTGACTTTAACTACAATGTCGATGCAGTCAATCAGACATACCGTCCAATGTGAAATGTAACATCAACTAAGAAGCATATTTTGCTGAAGGAAGGCCATAGAAGGCATCAGTCGTTCTGCATTAAATGCAAGCTATAGCTGTTGAACATTAAAAATTGCATAACGAACGTGTAAATAAACGGATGATCAGGCCTACTCAAAGTCGAAGCATACAAGACTTCTCTTTCAACGACTACAATAGTATAACAGAAGAAGCGAGGTTTATAAAGTTGTTCACAGACGAAGTACAGAGCGAAATTAAGCCCTCATCCATATGATAACGACCCTACGATAATCCAAAAAAGATCTTATCACAACAGCTGTCCGCATAGTCGCTCTGTAAGGCTGAACGTTTCGCTTAATGCTGCCGCCATGGATCTCGCGGTCTTTGTATTGACTTCTCTTGTCTTATCTGGTTCGAATGCATGGAATAAGTCGCACAGAGAAGCAGTGTAATTCTACATAACAGAGCTGTTGGAACACAAGCATGGAGCATGATTTTATCCAACAGACTGCTAATACCCTTGAGCAAGCAATTTATAACCACCCCCATGACTTGACAAGGGGCCACCGAACCAACCGAAAAAAGGCATAATGTCAATGACATGTAGCTAACAGCTGAGAAGAATAGCGCTCTGCAACGGTCAAGCTGAAGCTTACGATGCCTATTACCATACAGTCTGCTGTGTCTACGTTACGGCCGCAGTTCACCTTGACCCATTTAGCAAAAAACATGATTAGCATAAAAGTACCACCATACCGAAGAAAAGAAACGGTAGAAGCCATACAAACGAATAGGTACAGGGTACTGTGTTTGCAGAAACATCGCACAAAAAATCCTGCGAATACATTAAAAACTTTGATTGCACCATATACGTTTGAAGGCACAGTTCTCGCCCTTTCAACCTCATCGTAACGAACCTCGTCGAATAAACTGCCATGAAATCATCAGACTAAACCCATACTTCAAACGTTTGTTCACACCGCCAGCAACGAGGCATGAGTGGCTGCATAATGCTTTTAAAGAAAAATAAGATCAAAATTAAATTAATCAGTGAGTCAAATGATACTCATTTTACATGGTTATTACTCCTGACACAATCGTCACTGTACCCAATATGAAGGGAGCCCATTAGAAACAAAACCGCGGTCATGGACTACAACTCGCAGGCCTTGAAGCATTACGGTAATAAGATCGGCAGGTTATTTGCATAGTACCTTGATTATGAAAAGGAGAAATGAAAGTTTGAAGTTTGTACCTGCTGAATATCGGTCTTCCTAACACTTTCACGATAAGGTTAGTTCTAATGTTTTACTTTTAATCAAGTAACTAGTATGACATCAATTTTTATTTCAATGCCATCGGCAGACGTGCTTATGTTAAAAGCTGAGTTGACAACGACTATGGCAATCATAGTGTGCTTAGTCACTTGTTTCCTACCCACAGAGCGTTACCATTCATCATTCTTGAAAACAAATGAAGGCTAGTGATCGATCTTTTGGTTCTGAGTTTCGCGCTATTGATTGAGCAAGGAAAGCTTAAATACGGTCAGAATCAGGAACTTCAAAGCAATACTGGTATGCGCTGTATGACATACTCCTATGTATAAACATATTTTTCTGTTCACTTTGATAATATATAAGGAGTATCAGCTCCTGAAGAATCGGCTGTACTGAAACCGAAATGGCGCTAGCGAAAAGAATGGTGCGAGATGCTCAAACGCCATTGTGGTTTGCTTGATGGCTCCATTGGCAAGTAGAAGCAATAATGTGATTAAATACGCAGTCAAATTTTGCATTGGAGGAGCATGAGCGATAACATGCTACGGCAAACAAAAATTTTCGACAGGTAGTTCATTAATTGATTAATAAGGACGGTTAGCAGATTTGCTAGTGTTATGCATCGTTTTAAGTATAATGTTATGAACAAACATTCTTTTCACAAGTAAAAGAATTAAGTAAAAATAGTGCATGCAAGAAATAAATTAGAACCGCAGTCAGCACAGAGAGCGGTAGCGTATGAAGGACGCCTGTGACATACAAACCATTATATCATAAACGCAGAATTCAGAAAAATATTAAAGCTGTGAAAAAAAAACACAAAGAGTGCAATGAAGGATATCTGAGTTATTAACTCCCTGTGACCCGAGACAATAACTCCCTGTGACCCGAGACAATTTGGCATCTGCTGAAGACTATACTAGCAACTTTCATCTGAGGAAGGTATGCGAAATACTGATCGATGCACCGGCGATGGCCTATCTTCCGATATGTGTTTTATATTCTGCATAACAAAACAATACCTTTGCTGCATTTCAATAGGGCTGCCATCATACTTGCAAAGTACGCCTTCTTTATGCATATTGATGAAAAATAGGTCAGAGCAAAAAATAATTTAAACTGCTGGGAAAAAAGCAGACGAACCATCTTG